ATAATTCTATACCTATATATTGACATCTTTTATAATTGAATTAGATATCACATGCAATCAATCAGTATATTCGTTTAAGTTTTAATGTAGCAACAGGACAAGATATTGAAAATGTGATTAAAGGAATTAAAGGAACTTCTGTTGCAAATCTAAATCCTAATCGGGATAGAGGTGATATAATTAGTGTAAGTTATTAATAAGAAGTTTTGTATTGATTTCAAAATAAATATAGGTAATGGAAATAATATATTACACAGAAATTCCAATTGGTTTGAATAGTAATAGCCAACAGGAGAGTTTGCTGGATGTATTAAAGCACGAGATATTTCTGATATAGGAGAATGAAAGATTTTTACTGTAACACAATTAGACAAACTTCATAAAAGAGATATTAACAAACCCACATCACAAGTATCAATGCATACTGTACCATCGTCGGAATAGGAAATATTAATATCAAATCTATCACATATATATCTATTACTGATCAAATTTATTTTATTCAATAATAATTGATTTTTCTTTTTTTTTGTTATAAGGTCTTATTCCAAATCATCTTACAAGAGAAAATCTAATAAAAGAATTAGAAAAATGAAAAATTAGTTTGAATAATAAAAAAAATAGAGAACAATTGATAAACTTATTAGAAAACCAATTGGCAAAGAAGATGCAAAAAGCAAAAAAGGGTATGTATAATTATTGATATAATTTTTGAAATTATTAGATTGATAAATAATTTATTTATTATTATTTATAGATTATAAAAAGATAATATAGATGATATATCTATTGAAAAAAATAATGATAGTATTAGAGTGAACGCGTTTCCTTTAAATTTGGGTTGGACACTTAAAGCCAATCAAAAGTTTGGAAAAAGAGGTGTAGAAAAGAGAATATCATTGGAAATTAGAGTATTACTGGAAGGATATTTTTTAGCAGGCAATGTAAATAAAAGTGATAGATATACTGCACAAGATATGTATAATGAACTTGTTCAATGTGCATAAGAAGGTGAAATTAAAATAGAAGAAATACCAAAAGTTGCTACAATTCAAAATTGGATTGATCGTTATACATGAAAACATAAACAAAAAGCAGCAACAAGAAGATTGAATTAAGAATCTTTAAAAGGTCAAAGCTGATCTGTATAAGTATAATAATCTATTACAAATAGCATCATTGCTAAAACTTTACTTCTAATTCACTTCAAAAGTTAAAAAATTATAGCAACAAAAGAAAATAAGCTTAAACAGTTAAGAAGTAATGTGACAGCTCAACAATATGCATAGAAAAAGAAAAAGGAAAAAATTAAAATGGAAAATGTTGTGATAATATATGATACACCAGGTTGTTTGTTATTTTTGATTAATGATTCTATATATAATAGTATCAAATTTGGAGTAGCAAATTACAAATAACATAAGGAAATAATTAAAGTACAAATAAATAATCAAGCATTTTAGAAGAAAATTTTGATAAGATTCACATTGCAAAATTATACGCAACCTAAACATTAAGGAACAAAAGAGATACAGTGACATCATAACATTCATTGAAAGAAATAAAATATAATTTATGGTTTAATATATATATTCATCTTATCTTTTTTAGTGATTCTAATAGATATAGCTCTCAATAATCAAATTTTTAATAAGAAAGTAACTATGTTTATATTAGATAATTGGTTCTGTTTTATTTTTAATAAACTTAATTATTGTTTTTAATTCTTTTATATCATATAAATCAACAAAAATTATATTGGTTTATAACAAGTGAATCTAAATTCCCGCATTATAGTTTTGACTAAATCATATGATATAAAATTTTTTTACCTGATCCGTTAGAATCTTCTAGTACATTCTTTCAAGATGAGATAAATGAACGAAATCATATATATATAAGAACGAGACCTTAGTCTTTTGTAAATACGGGCAAATATGAGCGTAAGTGTGATTCTTTTGTTTTTTTTTTTTAAAAAAAAAAATAATTGCCCGTCAAAGGCAGTTTACTTGATATAAAATTTTTAATTATTTTAGGCTGAAGAGTATAAAAGTCAAGGGAATAAATCATTTGCCGCTAAGGATTACGACAAGGCAATAGAATTATTTACTAAAGCCATAGAGTTAGACCCCTCAAATCACGTACTTTACTCGAATAGGTCTGCCTCTTATGCGTCATTAAAGAAATATGATAAAGCTTTAGAAGACGCAAATAAGACTGTAGAATTAAAAAAGGATTGGGCAAAGGTATATTCTTTAGCGGAAACGCGCCATTGGTTTGTTTAATACTAATCAAGTTTTAAAAGTGTTGGTTCTACTTTATTTTGAATAGGGATATAGTAGAAAGGGTGCAGCACTTCATGGCCTTGGGAAATATGAGGAGGCCCGCGAGATTTATCAAGAAGGTCTTAGATACGAACCAAATAATGCTCAACTCAAAAAGGCACTTGAGGAGGTTGAGTCGGGTAAGTGAATAATTTCGTGCAACCATAAAATTACAGTAATAGACTTTAATCCATGGAAATATTTACGCGATTTATTAGGTCCACCTACTAAAATATTTCCCGATGATGTATTGGTGAAAATCGCGTTAAACCCACAATTGAGACCATACCTTGATCAACCTGATTTCGTTGAGAAGATTCAGGCGATACAAAATGATTCTAAACAACTTAACACGTAAGTATTAATATTAATATAATTTTTATCAATAATATTTTATTATATGAAAATAAAGATAACGAATTATGGCTAGTCATTTACAGGATCCCCGTATAAGGGATGTATTTATGTTCATACTGACTGGTGCAACGAATCCTTCAAGTGGCTCACGAGAATCACCGGAACCTGAAGAGGTGCCGTATGATAACAAAAAAAAATTGTTGCTTAATATTTTACTAATCAATTTATTTTAAATTTATTAGCCTACGCCAAAAAAACCAGATCCTGAACCGCAGGCACGTGACATTCCGGAAGTACCAGTGGAAAAATCTGAAGAAGAGCTTAACAAAGAAGCTGCTAATAAAGAAAAAGAACTTGGAAATGCGGCTTATAAAAAACGAGAATTCGAAGAAGCACTAAAACATTATGATAAAGCTTGGGAATTAGATAATACTAATGCATCGATTTTAACTAATAAAGCTGGTTAGTACCTTGAATTTGTAATTTGTTAAATATTTTATTAAGCGTTAAATGTTAACTCTTTTGGCTGCTTTTTTAATAGCTGTATTGTTTGAGCAAGAAAAATATGAAGAATGTATTAAAGTTTGTGAAGAAGCTATCGACGTTGGTCGTGAATATCGCGTAGATTTCAAATTGATTGCCCGGTAAGGATGCATTATATTCGAAGAACTTAAAATTATTTTGAAGCTCTTTAATTTAGATATCTTTCATTTTACAGTGCATATGGAAGAATTGGAAATGCATATATTAAATTAGAAAGATTGGATGATGCTATTAAATACTATCAAAAATCATTAACAGAACATCGTACACCGGACACGTTAAAAAAATTAAATGATGCACAAAAATTAAAAGTTAAGAAAGAAAAAGAAGCTTATTTTAATCCTGGATTATCTGATAAAGCTCGTGAAGAAGGAAATGAATTATTTAAAAAAAATGACTTTGTTAAAGCTGTTACAAGCTATACTGAAGCTATCAAACGTAATGAAAAAGATCCAAAAGCTTATAGTAATCGTGCCGCTTGTTATACTAAATTAATGGCTTATCCTGAAGCATTGAAAGATTGTGAAACTTGTATTAGTCTTGATCCTTCTTTTGGTATGTCAACGATTTCTTTATTTAATATTGTTTGTTGTATTGATAGTAATCATATTCATTATTATTGCATTTTTTAGTTAAAGCATATATTCGTAAAGCTGCCGTTGAATTCTTAAAGAAAGAATATACAAAATGTTTAGAAACTTGTGAAATAGCTTTAAAACATGATGAGGATGGTCAGCATGCTGTAGAAATCAATAAACAAATGGCAAAATGTCGTGAAGCTATATGGCAAAGTAATTCTAGTGGTTCTCAAGAAAGTACTGAAGAAGCTTTAAAAAAGGCTGCTAGTGACCCTGAGATCATGGTATGTATATTTGTTTGCTTTATTAGCATTTAAATTGCGTTATAATTTGATTCTGATTCCTTTCAAATATTTTATATTTTTTTCAGAGAATTCTTCAAGATCCCGTTATGCAACAAATTCTTAAACAAAGTCAAGATGATCCTCGTGCTCTTAAAGAGTATGTATGAGAAATATGTGATAAAGTATCTTTTTTAATATCTAATTTCGCGATATTTATTAATAAAAAATTTTTTTCCCTTTAATAGGCATTTGAAGAATCCTATCGTGGCAGCAAACATTCAAAAGTTAATAAATGCAGGAGTTTTGAGAACTAATTAAAGAGTATTTAAATGTACTCATTTTTTAATTTTAAATAAAAATTATTAGTTTGAAAATGAGATTATTTTTGGCTGTTTAAGAAGACATATATAAAAAAACATCCTTTGTATTTTGCATTAATAAAATAACATATGCATTATATAAAGTTAATTTATTTGCATAAATAAAATTTTGCGTTAAATAAGATTAAAAAATATTATTTTTAATCATTTTCTTAGTAATTATTTATTTAATAATGAACAAATATCATTTTATGGTCTCACAATAATGGAAAGTATAAGGTGAGCACAAACTCACCCAACCTAATTTTTTTTTTTTTTTTTTTTTTTGGTAAAAAAAATTAATACATTTCAAAAGCAACATTAAAACATATATAATAAGTACAAAGTTATTACAATCTTGTCAAAAAAAGTCTTTTCAAAAAAAAAAATTAAAATAAAATAAAAAATTAAAAAAAAAAAAAAAAAATTAAAAAAAAAAAAACCAAAATTAACAAAAATTACAAGTCAAATAAAATCCCACCTTTTAAGTTTACCTAATTGCAAATTACAATTTTTTTAAAAAAACAAATATCCATCTTTGAAATAAAAAATATTCAAAATAAAAAAAAATATATTTTTTTTTGATAATATTAATAATTCTATCGAATACTTCTATCTTTTCAACAAATTTTTAATTTCCTTTCCCAAATATATATATATATATATATATGGGTTTTTTTTTCCTTTAATAAAATAAAAATAAGAAAACAAACATCCTCATAAATATTCTTAATGCCGATGCAGCTTTTGATTAAAATATTTATCAAATTGACCGATCTTTTATAATTAATATATTCAGTCCCTTACTTATTTGCATCTATTTTAAGCCATTTGATATGGCAAAGCATTTATTTCCCTTCGATTATTATATTTCTGATCATTATTATGATGATGTACATCATTTGTCATCGTTTTATTATTGGGAACAATCGGATTCATTTGGTTTGGTGATGTTCCCTGTGATGATGGTGGAGGTCTAGCCTGTGAGGATGTATTTTGATGATGATGATGACCAACATTATGATTTATTTGCTGAAAATACGAAGGTAATTCATAAGTAGGCGAAGAGGGGATACCATATCCCGAAGATGGATTGTTTGGCGGATAAGATGGCGAAGTAGATGGGGATATTCGATGATGTCGATTTGATTGTTGTGAATGAAAATTGTGTTGATCATAATTTGTTGGAAGGACTAAATTATGATGATAATTTCCCGATGATGCTATTGAAGATGAACTTTGCTGCTGCTTCGGTTGTGGATGAGTTGCAGGTAACGGCAACTGATGATGTTGAGAATGCGTCATATATGGTGAAGTGCTAGGTGTGGAAAAATGGCTTGGTGAATTACGAAATGATGATGGAGATTGGTTATTAAATGAAGGCGATGAACGGAAATTAGAAGGTCGAGGATGTACTTGAGTCATGATAGGTGAAACTACATTTACAGAAACTGGTAATGGTGACGGGTGACGCAACCCGGACTGTTGGTAATGATGATGCTGTGGCAATACTGGTGGTCTCGATGATGGTGATGGTGATGATGATTGCCATGACTTATTATTGTTAGAGCCATTACTATTTGAAGTATTGTTTTTTGACTGCACGATTTGCATTTGTTGGAGTTGTTGTAGAGACTTTTGATGATATTGGTGCGTTAAATGTAACGGAGGTCCAGATGATCCGAGAATACTATCATCCAAGCCACCACCTGAAATTCCCAACCCTGTTACTCCATTTGGCATACTACCAGGCATTGTCAATCCGCTGGACTTAGACGTTTCATTCTCGGTATTATTATCTATAATATTATCATTATTTGAGCTAACGCTTGGTGATTTATGTCGTTCATCTTTTGGTAATCGTTCATCTTGAGGATTACGTGCCTCTTTATCATGCCAAACATCCCTTATTCGAATGTCAACCTTCTCTCCTCCAGATAATGTGTTATTATTAGGACTATTCGTCTGATCAGATGTACGATTATTCTCGCTACTATCAACTATCACAGAAAATTGTTGTACTTCAGGATGTTGATCACGTTCTTGCAACAATTGTAAATGAGGATAGTTATGTGGTAGTCGTCTTGGATCTTTTTTAGAATGTTCTACTTGTGATGCACCGACACTACCTGGGGTAACAAGCGCTGCGGCTCGTTGTATTTGTGGTGGAACTTGAATATTTCCAATTGTACTAGCTCTTGGTCTTAATGAATTTATACTAGCTTTTGGTCCTAAAGATAACTTGTTTGATGATTGCTGCTGTTGTTGTGGTTTTTGTCTTGAAGGTGGTACATGACTGTTAGAAGCGGGAGCATGAGAAATCTTCAAAATAGGCATATCATGAGCGACAATAAGAGGATTCTTGGGCTGCGCTTTTGGAGAATTATTTGATGTTTTGTATTTAATAGGTGAAGCGATTTGCATCAAATTTGGTGTCGGAGTCGATGAATTTGAGGATATAGACTGCTTTGACGTTCCAATCTTATTAGTTGCTTTAATCTGCATAGGTGGTGTAAATTTACCAGTAAATTTTTCGCCCGTTATAAATGGATGTAATTTCGCTTGTTGAGGAGACCAGCGTTCTATAGGATTAAGATTCAATAATCCTTGTACAAAATCGATAAAAGCCAACCGATTTTGCATTTCTATATAAATAATGTTATAAGCAAAAAAATTTTTAAGATAAAATAAAACCGATTAATTGTGAAAAGAAAGTTAGTTGATTTACCTTTATCAATGTCCTTTTGCGTTAAACCTTTTCTCATTATTGGATATGATTGAATGATCTCTGGCAACGTCCCTGCTGAGAAATATCTCTTGGACGGTTGTTCCACAATATTATGTTCTCGCATGTATTGTTCCATCGATTTCAAACGATATTTCTTTTGACCATGTTCGTTCATATATCGATCAAAGTATTCGTGGGCGGTTTTCCCAACTTCGATCATATAAGCTGGTGGAATACCCAGCATCTCAACGATTCGAGACACTTGATTATATTCAGAACTACCTGGAAACAAGGGTAATCCTAAGAATAGTTCAACAGCGATACAACCTAATGACCACATATCGATCGAGGATGAATACCTGTGAAAAGCAAATATGCATTAATATTTTTTGGAACGTAATATATGTTAATAATATATAAAAAAAAATGCTTACGGTAATCCTAATAGTACTTCAGGACTTCGATAAAATCTCGATTGAATATATGTATAGACTGTCTGACGTTCATGGCATGCAGAACCGAAATCGATCACCTTAATTGTAGGTGACTCCAAACTAAATTAGAACATTAGTCAGTATGGAAATATTTTAAATAACTTATTACTTTTTTTTTAAATTCAATAATATACTATATAATATAACGCACGAAGATTTCACACACTTTTTCAACAGCACATTTTCTGGTTTCAAGTCACAGTGAATTATACGTGCTTCATTCAACACTGTCAAAGAATCCAATAATTGGGCAGTAAAAACTCTGACGAGATTTGTACTAAGTCCTCGAAACTGATTTTGCTTAATTAGTTCATAAAGATTAACAGACAAAAGTTCAAACACGAGGCAGAGATGTCGACGGTGAATAAACGTATCCAAAAGCCTTAGAATATGATGTTGATCTTGATTATCCCATGTTTGGTTTAGCTAATAAATTCAAGAAAGTTAAAATTAAGTAAAAATTAACGAAATACTTTGAAATGAAATTTTGGGGGGAGTTATATAAAAAACATCATGCATCATAAACAAATTTCTTTATACTCTACCAGCTCCAATATGGTCACTTCCATCATACTCTGATTAAAATAAGCGGGCTTGTTTTTCACGACTTTAACTGCCACAATGTCCTTTGTCTTCAAATTCTGACATTTTACAACTTGCCCGAATGTTCCTTGACCTAGGACATCCAATATGAGATACCTATATGAAACTAAATGTTGAGGAAGTGGAAAAGGAAAAAAAAAGAAGGAAAAAAAACCACTTACTTTTGTCCTTCTTCACTGCCTAGTATATCGTTCACGTATAGAATATAATCGCAATCTTCGTTATCAAAACCATCATTTTTTACACCTTTTGAAGGTTTTGTTAAAACCCGACGTGGATTGTAAGTTAGATCGTACCGAAAATGAGGATTGATATTCTGGTACGTTGACGTCAGGTATATAGTCAACGCTTTTAGTGGCTGTGTTCGAGATTAAATAGTTTACGGACGCAATTTTTACGTTATTCCATTGACACGGCAATAAAAACGAGGAAGGCAGCTAAAAGCCTGCGAGATATCAAGTATATCGCAGGGGTTAATAAAATCGCACATACACTGACAACGACTTTCGCAGATTCTACTCTACGTGCTGGTTGAGGTCGCAAATCCGATATTGATCGGACTTTCCGAAATGCGGTAGTTCGATATTCAGATTTACTACCACCAAAATCAGTTCGAGATTGATTTAATTGTTGAGATGACTTATTTTGTGAAGTAGTTACTGGTGAATAAGCATTCGGTGATGGAGGTTGAGAATTAGGAGAATATGTTGGCTTATAACCAATCTGTATGGGTGGAGCAAGTTGTGGAGGTGGGGGTTGTTGACCACTCGATTGCTGTAACTGTGAATGGGAAGGGCGATGATGTTGACGAGAATTAGTATGAGAAGATTGGTGTGTCTTATTATGTGATTGCTGTAACAAATGAGGTGAATATGATTGACTCTGTTGAGGAGATTGTTGTAATTGATGTCCAGACAAAGACCGTTGATGATGCAGTTGAGAAGTGGGAGATTGTAATAAAGTATAATGTCCGGATGGGGAATTTGGAACATAATTATCTAATCGCCGTCTACTGTGACCTTCTGGTGGATCTTGTTGAATTGGATTTGGAATTGGAGGATATGAATTTTGACGTTGTATATTCAATGGTATTTGTTTCTGTTGTGAAGAATGCGAAGGTGATGAAGCATTATTCATTATAGGTAATAGTGGTAATTGCTTTTGTGAAAAATCATCGCTTATAGTTATTCCAACGAAATCTGTTCTTTCAGAATTGTTATATTTGAGTTGAGGAGTTTGATTATATGATATATTATGATCAGAACGCCTTCGACTATGCGAGGCGCCATCCATTTTTTCAATTATGTTGTTACCTAAGGTATAATAAATTCGAGTAATTAATTATAATATATAATAAAATAATATGTAACATAGATGGGAAGGATGATATAAAATTATTATAATAACTAACGGAGTTCTTATGGAGAGTTTAAGTATGAATATTATGAATTTGACAAGCTCGCGAAGTTTATTCGATCAACAATTCCTATAAAAATAAGAAACGAGTTAAAAATTGAATCAAAAAACTTTTTATTATGTTTGAATAAAAACTGACATTGAGCGCGTTCTCACTAACTTGATGTAAGTTTTGCTTGTCAGGTCTAAAAAAGACTAAACAAATATATACAAAACGAATGATATATAATTATATAAACTTAGAAACGCGGAAACATAATGTGAACTCAAAATGTAATAAAAGAATGGTTTTTTAGGCAATATAGATCTTGAGTTTAAAAATAAAACTTACCGAGACGTCGAGTATAAAAAGGTATTAAAAGGGTGTTACTTTTTGAACAGAGTTAAGAAACGAAAGACTGCAACTTTCCAATTGTCTTACAAAAAGGTTCAATTGGTAGTATGCAAAATCGGTATGCTTAAATTTTATAACGAATCTAGGACAAGTAAATACTATAAGAATATTCAAACAACAAACAAATTTGTGCTTTCGTACACTTTAAATTTTTTTAATTATTTAATTTGTTTTCAACCAGTTTGTATCGCTTGGACCCCAATGAAATAAATCACATGATAATATAATTCTATTTTTAGCTCCAAGACTCTGTATAAATAAATAAAAGTATAAATCACATGATAGTATAGAGGGCTCTATTTTTTAAGGAAATTCTTGATACTCCGAGCGTAAAAAAAAACTGTATTATTTGTATTATTTAAAATGATATATTTTAATTCGTAATTCAGTCATATAAATTTGTTATCAACTAATTTAACCAATTTACTGATTTTTATAAATCTTTTTTATAAATCAAACTAGCGAGTTAGTTCTTTTTTTCCAGTAACCACCACATATTTAATGTATCACACAAGCGCAATGCGTCATACAACGTGATGTGTCATACAGAGAATGATGATCATGATGAGTAGATCAATTTTTTTTAATAAAAAAGCATAAATAATAGTTGATTTGAAGATTTTACAATGCATGTTTTTTTTTGATATATTATATTGTTTAAAATCAAATTGAAGATTATGATCAGTAAATTATGGATTTTTATTAAACAATTTATTTAATAACATGATCTTGAATGTTTAAAGGTATCAATCAGATAATGTAATGCTTTATCATTTTTATTTCTAAAATGTGATCTGTCATGAATGCTAACCTGTCAAGATGAGAAATCTTTACATTATTCCAGGTAGAATATCTGCTAAGGATGATATAGGCTTAATCTACAGTGATCTAAAGTGAGAGAATATTCAGTAAAGTAAACCTTGTGTCTTGTAAATAGTAAGAGCAAAGCAATTCTGTAGTATATATTGAGTTCTGTAATAATTACTTCCAAATAGTTGAAAGTGATGTGTTTGCTTATAAATGGTTATATTTATTATAGAAATTCTTACAGAAAATGCAATCTGAATAGAATGATCAATAAGGTTTAGATTAAAGATGGTGTAGCAATTAATTTCAAATTTACAAATTGTTGCAAATTAAGCTAAAATTAGTTGCAACATATAGGATAAGTGTTGGGAAAAGGACCAAATCGACAAAAAAATTTTTTTGAAATAACAAATGATCTGAATCAGATGATCAAATCTACATCTATTTACTTAAGAACTTTTTTTTAAAAAACAATCAATTTGATTCATTTTCCTAACACTCACCTCATATGTTACAATAGTATAAGTTGTAACATATATAGGTTAAAACAAATTGCAACATATGTTACAATATTAAAAGTTACAATATATTAATTACAGTTCTTATCTTTAGATTTATAATAATTCTAACTGTTCCATTACAGATAATCTTGCTCAATTAAAAGAATTATTAAGATATATGACATGAGCATCTGGTTGTAATATTATAGAAGAAGGTAGATTGATTTTACTTTTAAAAAAGCTTTTAGAAAAGTAAGTATCCTATGATGTGAAATTTACTGAATCTATAGCTTGTAATATAAGAAATTTTCCTTTATAAATAGGTAGGATATTATAAATCATTTGATTAATTTGCTGAGCATTTTTTTAAAGCTGATAATATTAGTAGTACAGTCAAAGTTAGGTATAATAATACTATTATATAATAATAATGTCTTATAACAATAATAATATCTTGCCTAAAACAGTTATAATTAAATTAGCTTTATATATCAATTTTAATTAATAAATCTCTTTATTTTATATTACAATAAATATTACAGATATCACATATACTTTTAGTATTACAATATAATGATATCCACATATAATAATATAAAATCTATTTATAATAATATATAATATCATATGATTTATAATGTTGTGTAAATTTCATAAAATAAAATTTTTTAATATAAAAAATACCATAAAATCATTTTTTCATAATAAAATATATATTCGGTATAGAAGATTTGTAAAAATTAATATCGCTAAATAAAGAAAAAAATAATAATATTTATATTTTATATGTTACGTGATGGCAATCACAATCACAAATATGAACATACATGTTATTTGTATGTGATCATATATTTAAACCATTTTTGAAATCAAAACAAAAAGAACATGTATACAAAATAAATGAAAAAACTATATAATAAAGAAGGATTTGTAAGGGTGGTGGTAAAATATAAGTATTTTTTTGTACATATTTCAAAAAATTCAAAAACATTTTTTTTCTAATAAAGATACTCAATTTTTATTCAATTGCTATATTTAAATATTCGTTAAATAGAGAATAAAATTATGGATTGTATAGCATATTAATATTTTATAATTGATAATTGATTTATTAAATAATGTTGCTTTAAAAATTGCTATTTTTCTTAAGATATTTATTATTGAAATCTGATTAGCTTATTATTATACTAATATTGATCAATATAATATATAAATATCATTATATAAAATTTTCATAATATACTGATAACTTGATATACCAATATTTTTTTCTCAAAACATCTGTATCATTATATAGAAGTTTAACTGTATTAATAAATGTATCGATTGCTAAATATGTTAAAAATTCAGAATGTTTTTGACTAAGAATTTGCAACATTTTAGCAGATATATTACCCATTTGAACTTCTTGTAAGATCTAATAAAACCTGTTATCAGATTGTTAATATTGTAGAGTCATTAGGAATAAAGGATAGAATAAAATCTAAGTTATTAATCAAAATATAGGTTGACCTGTAATGGTAATTGAGCAAGATCACCTACAATCACATTTATTCTATAAAATGGAATAGTATTATTATTAAGGTTAGTAAAAAGATCAGATATAAAGTCAAAGAAACCATTGAAATTTCCTCAATAATAATGATATTAACCTTTTTAATGATTTATTTAATTCTTTATCAGTATATACATGAGTACGAAAGTGATTATGATCTGAGATCTGCAATACAGAATAGATAGTCCTTCCTTTTACATTTTAGGTGATGATACTAGTAAAAGCTAATAAAAGATAATTTGATCATTTTGTTTAAGAATATTTATCAGCAGATTTACAATATATGATTTACCTGTTTCTGCAGAACCTGTAATAAAATAATATGGCTATTTGATATCATCATTTAGGTTAAGATATGAAGAAATTATTAATAAGACATAATATTGATCTTTTGATAAATCAAATATGCACTAATTGAATAAAAGAAAATCAGTTAAAATCTATATATCTGATATTGCTATTATTTAATACTGATTTTATTTTAAATTAGATCTGATAAGCGTATATGAAATTAACTGATTCTTAGCGCAGATCAAAAATCATTAATATAGATTTCAGTTAAGTTATATCAGATTAACTAGTATAAAATATCATTAAATGATCATTTTCTGATATACTATAGATGGTTGGTTACCTGATATTTATATAAAATATTTTCCAATAGATATGTAATATTAATCTGATATTTATAAATAATATAAATCGATTTTTTATTATTTGTAAATTTATAATAAAATTTTTTTGTATTTATTAAAACTTCGCAAATTTACTAATTATTGATATTAAATATAATAATAATAACACTATATAATGCTTTAGTATAACAGGTTTAAATTCTGTAGAAATATTATACCAAATTTCAATTATGTGAATTCTTTATTCTTGTATGACTTGTTTTTTTTTCCTATAGTATTATATTTTGTACATTAGTACAACCAAAACGAAAGCAGGATTTGAAGAAAACTTTATAAGAATATGTAATAAAGTCAGCTAAATTAATAATAAATGAAACCTTAACAGATTTAAAGTTTAGTTTTTTACTTACTGCTGAAAAATAAAGACTTCGAAATAAATATTTATTCAGAATAGTATGAAGTTGAAATAATTCATTCTGGTTAAAGCTCTGAACAGGTCGGGTCAGGTCAGATCAAATATAAATTGATCTGAATTAAATATACATCTGACCTGACCTGACCAGCATAGTAAACATGCTTATATCACATATCAATTATTTTGCCAATCATATATAACTGAATTATCACATTATATAAAATCAGCTGATCTAGACTTTAAAACTTCAGGCAACAATAAATATGCTTGGACGAATTCTACAAATTAATAAATTTGATATTATAGATTATGCAAAATATGATTTTAAAATAGTTAATCAAAGATTAAACATTGTGTATAAGTTAGCTTTGGGCTGAAATAATTAATTATATAATTTATATAATAAATTTATTATTTTAAACTTCAAAGATTGAGGAAATACTATACATGCTTGTGCAAACTATACTAAACATTGTATTTAATATTTTAGATTATGTAGAATATAATATTAAAATTTCACAATAAAATTTTAAACAACCAAAAGTTAGTTTTGTAGCAACTTTTTGAATAA